GATATATTGGAAGATCCCTTCAAAGCAAACACAGCACAGAAAGTGACCCACCTACAAACGTACAGCAATAATACCATCTTGATGAACTTGATGGGATGCTTTTATTTTTTTAAGAGACTCTAATGAAGGAGTTAAAAACTACAGCGATCATTCCCTTTGCCTGTGGTGTAAAACATACAATGCACAGGTACTGCTTTTTAACATGAACTAAGTGTGATGCTCCTTGGGTGCTGCTGCTATTCAGACTAGTTCCAAGTAACTTGATTTTTTTTTAAGCAGAGAATTTGGGGGAGGGCGAGGAAACAAAGTCCATAAAGGAACTTTTGTAGTCTTATCAACTAGAACTAACTCATTAGAAAAGACCCTGATGCTGGGAAAGATTGAAGGCAGGAGGAGAAGGGGGCGACAGAGGATGAGAAGGTTGGATGGCATCCCACTTAATGAACAGGAGTTTCAGCAAGCTCCAGGAGATAGTGAAGAACAAGGATCTTGATGTGCTGCAGTCCATGGGGTCACAACAGATTGAACATGACTTAGTGAGTGAACAACAGCAATCCAATACAACTGGTGTCCTTTTAAAGAGGGGAAGTTGGGACCAAGACACAAGGAGGGAAGGCGATGTGAAGACCCAGGGTGAAAGTGGCATCTGCAAGTCAAGGGAGAGGCTGAGACAGACGTTCCCTAGCAGCCCCAGAGGGAACCAGCCCTGCCCACACCTTGATCTTGACCTTTGGCTTCCAGAGTGTGAGAGAATGAACGTCCGTTGCTTACACTGCCCTGTCTGTGTACTTGGTTATGCAGTTCTAGCCATGGAACACGCTGGGCTAGGACAGTTCCAAGTGCCAGAGATTAAGTGGGCTATTAAGGGTAAGGCAGTTGCAGGGAATCTGGACCGAGTTGAGCAAGGGGTGCAGGGAGAGATGACACTGACTTTATTCCAGGAGGGTGAGACTCAAAACNCACTGAGAGGTTTGACCGGCTCCCCTGACTGGCTGCTCTAGGCTGTGGGTCTGTCTGTAGGTTCGGTCTCCCAGGACCAGGAACTGTGTCTTGGGTTCCATCATGGAAACACTTGTCTTCTTCCCAAGGGCCACTTTGGAGTAGAGGGTCAGGAGTCTGGGTGGGAAGACTGGGAGGTGCAGGGGCTCCCAGTGAGGCCCCAGAGCCTAGAACAGCCTGCTCACACCTGCAGAGCCGCCGTGAGGTGCTAGGAGACCTGCAGACACCCCTGGACTCCTGTCAACATGTAGGATGCTCATGTGATAAAGGTGTGTCCCAGCTTTATAGGTGCTTTTCTTTTTTTTTTTGAGGGGAAAAGTTTAGAACACTGTTGTCACAAGTTGAAATAGACTTTTGAAGGTGTGTGTGTTTTTTTTTTTAATCATTTATTTGTTAGGTCTTCGTTGTGCTGCACAGAATCTCTAGTTGTGGTGCACGGGCTCCGTAGTTGCTGGGCAAGGGCTTAGTTGCCCCTCGGCATGCGGGATCTTAGTTCCCCAGCCAGGGATCACACACATCCACTGCATTGCAAGGTGAATTCTTAGCTCCTGAACCATGGGGAAGTCCTTGACTTGCTTTTTTAAAGGCAGAATTTAAAAGAGAAATGGTATTGTCACCAAGACCAGCCTCCTCTGATCTCTTTTTTCTTCATCTTTATCACTTTTCAGTGACAAATAGCTCCAAATAGGGCTCTGAGTTCATGCTATTGTGTCTCTTCTGAAGCAATGAGCAAAACTTCTGAATGACATGCATATGCTCTTTGTGGCTCATGAGTGATGGCTTGCTGTCGACACATTTAAATCTAAAATTACCGAAAACCAAAACTCAGAGCAGTGACGCATCCTGTGACTTATTTTTTACATGATTTTATTTGTTTATTTATTTTTGGCTGGGCTGGGTCTTTGTTACTGTGTGGCCTTTTCTCTAGTTGCAGTGAGGGGGCTACTCTTTGTGGAAGTGTGTGGTCTTCTTATTGAAGTGACTTCTCTTATTGTGGAGCACGGGCTCTAGGCCCTCGGGCTTCAGTAGCTGCAGCATGTAGCCTCAATAGTTGTGGTGCACATAGTCTCAATAGTTGGTCTGAGGCATGTAGGATCTTCCTGGACCAGGGATCGAATTTGAGTCTCCTGGATTGGCAGGCGGATTCTTTACCACTGAGCTACCAGGGAAGCCCTGATTTGTTATTTCCATTGACAAAAACATATAAATGAGGCTAAATGCCTTTTGCCTTTCTGAGATGTTTTGTGTTGCTCAGTTCTGTCCTTACAGGAAGCATAGGGTTATTTCTCAGTATTTGTATGGGGCCAAAAGAATCTGTGCTGACAGTAATGGCTCCGGAGTAAATACCAGCCTCGCTCATTTGGATCAGGTGCTCCTGTGTGAGGTGAGAGGAGCAGGAATCAAGCCAGACCCCTGCCTGCCCGCCCCCACATCTCCAGTGCTGTCCCACTCCCCACCAACACCACTGCCCAAAACTTTCCTGGTCGGCTTCTCTGGGTGGGAGGGAACCACCCCCCCTCACGCACCACCACCCCAGTCTGTGCTCCTCCCCAGTTCTGTTCTCCCAAAGGCTCTGAATTCCTAGCATGGGGCCCAGACGAGGCAGCCAGACGGGGGAGGCCGAGGATGGGGAGGAGAGAGCTGGGCGTGTTCCTAGGCTTGGGACCTTAACATTTCAGGGAGTATAAAAAGCAGATTTCCACTGTGCTTTCCACATCGTGACTTCACAGAATCATCTGAAAACCATCAGTTGAAAGGGAACCCACCCCTCACTTCACAGAGAGGGAAACCAGACCCCCCAAAGACCCAGTGGTCTCCCCAAGGCCCCACAACAAATAGAGTGACCTGGGAGAGTCTGAGGGGGGCCTGTGGTCCCTGAGGACACTGTTCCTGTCACATCACAGGGTCCTGAGTTGGAGACCACAGGGGCCAGTGACAAGGTGGGGCTGAAAGACAGCCAGGAGAGATTCTGGAACATGGGATGGAGGCAGGGAGGGGAGCAGGAGACTCGGCAGCCTGGGGAACCCCTCCCCGCTCACCCCCGACCTTCCCAGGGCTTCTCGGCTTCTACCCTGTGCTCGGCAGAACTCGGAAGGACTTGGCAGAACTCGGCAGGACCCCGAAGGACGGTGTTCGGATCACTTCCGCTCCCTGCCGGGCTCTGTGCAAGTGGCTCTGCTGATGGGCCCCGGCTGTGGTGGATAACAGAATATTCTAGATCAGTGGCCCCCAACCTTTTTGGCACCAGAGACCAGTTTCATGGAAGACAGTTTTTCCAGGGCTGGGGGGTGGGGATGGTTTCAGGATGATTCTCATAAGGAGCACGCACTCTAGATCCCCCGCATGCGCAGTTCACAGAAGGGTTGGCGCTCCTGTGTGAATCCAGTCCCGCCACTGAGCTGACAGGAGACGGAGCTCCGGCTGCGGTAATGTGAGCCTGTGAGCGATGGGGAGCGCCTGCAGCTACAGAGGAAGCGTCCCTGCTCAGCTGCCGGCCTCCTCCTGCTGTGCAGCCTGGTTCCTGACAGCCCCAGGGATTGAGGACTCCTGTTCTAGATGGAGCTGGTGGTTGCACAACATTAAAAATGCATGAAATGCCACTGATTTGTCCACTTCCGAATGGCTAATTTTATGCTGTTTGAATATCATCTCCATTGGAAAAAAAATTAGGAATAAATTGGAAACCAAACTGCTGGCTCTGTGAACAGCCAGGAAACCAACACATAGCCCCAGTGGGTCGGAGCAGCTCAGGCTGGGGGTCTGGAGGGCCTCTGCAGAGGGACTTGGAGGCGCGGGAGGAAGCAGGCTGCAGAGGGTAGACCCCCCCGGCACACATTAACCTCAGAGACATTCTCCTCTGAAGCGAAAAAGGGCTTGATCGTTCGCCAGAGAAAAGTGCTGTTGAAAATCTATTTTCCACTCAGTAATAAAGAGAAATTTGCTACCAAGCCCTAAAGAGACATGGAGGGCCCTCAGGTGTGTATCAGGAAGGGGAAAAGTCTTCTGAAAGGCCACACAGTGCACAATTCAACCCCGGGATGCTCTGGAAAAGGCACAGCCTTGGGGACAGTAAAGGGGTGGGGTGGGCGGTGCCAGGGGTGGGGGGTGAACAGGCAGAGCGCAGAGGGTTCTCCAGGCAGTGAGATGACCCTGTATGATCCTCAATCACAGGTACACATCATACATTTGTCCAAACCCATGGCAGGTACAACACCAAAACTGAACCCTCATGACAGTGGGCTGAAGTTTACAATAATGTGTCAGTATCAGCTGATGAGTTGCAGCAAATGCATCCAACTAAGAAGTTAACAATGGAGGCGGAGGTGGGGGGGGGGAATGGGAATTGTCTGCACATCCTACACGATTTTGTAAACAAAGCCCTTCTAAGAAATCACATCTATTCATTATTTTTTTTTAACATCATGCCATTTTGCCCCTACTACTGTTTGTTTATATATTTGGCTGCATCAGTTCTCACTATGGCACGTGGAATCTTTTTCTTCTTTGTGGCGCGAGGGCTTCTTTCCAGCTGTGTCTTGTGGACTCCAGAGCTCGTGAGCTTATTTGCTGCACTGGCTGTGGGATCTTGGCTTCTCAGTGGTAGAGAGCCTGCCTGCCAATACAGAAGACATGGGTTCGATCCCTGAGTTGGGAAGATCCCCTGGAGGAGGGCATGGCAACCCACTCCAGTGTTTTTGCCTGGAGAATCCCATGGACAGAGGAGCCTGGTGGGCTGCAGTCCATGGAGTCTCAAAGAGTCAGACACGACTGAAGTGACTGATCTCACAGAACACACTTGGATCATAATTTCCTGGCCAGGGATTGAACCCACACCCCCTGCATTGTAAGCTGAATTCTTAACCACTGGACAGCCAGGGAAGTCCCTGTCTATTCATTTTTGAAAATCCGTGTTGATGGAGAAGGATTGGGAAGGCAGGAGGGAGGGGAGGGGGAGCCTCGTGGGCAGGCATCCATGCCCTCTGGCACCAACAGGCCGAGCCATGGCCAGCGCTGGGCGTCTACTGCTGCCACTGCTCTGCCTGCTGCCCGTGGCCCCGGTGCTGACAATCAAGAAGTACCAGCAGCTGTCCCATAAGGTAAGCGCCACGTCCCTATCTCTGTAGGGCCCACGGCTAACTCTCGCCAAACCCACCCCAGGGCACCCAGGCTCCCAGCCCCCTCCCTGCCAGGTGCTCTGTGCTTTTTCTCCTGCCCCATCCCCACTTCATGAATGCATCTGCCTCTGAAGGCTCTCAGGTCCCCAGGATGATTGACTCCTGGTGGACACCCAGACCCCCGATGCCAAGTCCCAAGTCGAGGGACCCCGCACGGGACTGGGGGGTGTGTGCAGAAGAGGCAGTATGGGAGGAGGCGGGGCAGTGGGTGGTCTGGTGGGGTGATGTGCCCAGCTCGTGTGCATCGTGGAGCGACAGCAAAGACAACACAGTCTGTCAGTCCTAGGGGCCGTGTGTCAGCCCCTGATCCCCACGTCCTGCCTGGTCCGAGGTGCCCCTGTGCAGGACGCAGGAGGGAGGGTACCACGCTGTGTGGCCGCTGCTCCCCAGATGCAGCTCCCGCCTCTGTCCCTCCCGCTCACCCGCTGGGTTTGTGGACTCCAGTTCATGAGCCAGATGGCTTTTATCTCAGCCAAGAAGAGGTAAAATCACTCACACCCAATAGTAAACCCGCAACGACAACTCTTTGCAGCCTCCAGTAATTTTGCATTTGTAAAGGAGTTTCGAGACTCTGAGAACCAAGTCGAGGGCCCCTCCTCGCAGGAGGTGGGCAGGCAGCAGGACTGGGCTTCCGCTCCAACTCCTAGTTGGCTGTGTGACCTGGGCAAGTCTCTTACCCTCTCTGAGCCGTGACATCTCACCTATAAAATGTGAGAGCACGTGGAGGGGGCCAGGTGAGCTTCTTCTGCTCACCAGCATCCTTCATCCTTTGGGCCTGGCTCCCTTAGCCTTCCGGAACAGTGTTGGGCAGGCGAGCTAAGTTTGCCGAGCTGGACAACAGACTTGCAGGGACGCTGGGTCTGTGGGGGCGCACATAAAGGAGCCCCAACTTTGCAGAGCATTGGAGAGCCCTGTGAGATGCACAGTGAGTGCCAGAGCGACTGCTGTGTCACCAACAGCCTGAGCCCTCAGAAGTTCTGCACCGCCCAGACCGTATTCCAACAGTGCCTGTCCTGGAAGAAGGTGTGTCCTGCCTGGGCGGGTGAGAGGTGGGGGGCAAGGGGCTGGGGATGGCAGCCCCTGAAAGGAGGGCCAGGGGCCTGGCAGAAAGGACCGCTCTCCTTTTGCTGCAGCCAAATGGGTACATCTGCAAGGACCACTTGGAATGCCAGAGCAGATGCTGTGCCATCAGTAACTACGGGGTGGACATGTACTGCAAAGCCAAGACCATCTTCCTGCAGTGCTTGCCCTGGCGCAAGGTGAGGCCGGGGCCACGGGGCTGGAGGGAGGCGCCCGCCAGCTCTGACCTCTGACCTCTGTCCCCAGCCCAACTGGGACTACTGCTACTACCACACAGAGTGTCACAGCAAGTGCTGCATCCGGCTGAACGAGCTCAGCCCCAGCCGCTGCGTCCCCCAGAGCGGCATCCTGCTCCAATGCCTGCCCTGGGTGAGTCCTGGAACCCAGTCCGGCCTATCTGGGGTGCTCAATCCCACGACTGGCCTGAGGGCAGGCGGGCAGTGACCTGGAAGGCGGTGTGTCCATGTGTGTGGGTGGGCGTCCCCTCCAGGAGAGGCCACCAGTCATTTCTGCCAGTTGGCCTCCTGTTGCTGCATCCTGCAGCAGGAGCACGGCTGAGGCATCAGAAAAGGACACAGGTTGTGGGCAGTGGGTTCTCAGGTCCACCGGGGTGGCAGCAGGACAGAGCGTGGACACCTGGTGAAGGGCCAGCATGGTGGTAGGTGGTGGGCCCGCAAGACCCGGCAGCACCGGGGCCTAACTCCTGTGGGGCTGGACCCCTGGCAGGACGAAGGGGAGGGCCCCCTCTCAGGAGTTTCCTCCTCTTCCCTCCCTCGCATCTCCGCTGGAGACCCCAGAACACAGAGCCTGAAGGCACCGTGGAGAACAGTTGGGGGCAGAGAGGGGTGGGGGCACAGTGATGGGGTTGGAGAGGATGCTCTGGTGTCTGAGCTCGGATGCCGGGATCCAGGACTTCAGTCTGATTATAAAGGTGTGTCTGAGCCCAGAGGTTAAGAACCAGACCTTTCTGAGCATCCTCACCTGCTGGCCATGGTCCATCAGCACCCAGAACAAGAGTGGGTGCAGCAGGTGCCACAATAGTGAGTCCACAGCTGTCCCCAGGGTGTCCCAGGGTGTCCAAGCAAGCCAGGCAGCACCATCAGTGGCTTCGCCCAGAGGTGCAGACTGTCAGTGCTGAGGAGAGTGTCTGGCCATTATCCAACTGGCCCTGGAGGACAACTCCTTTCTGCCTCGTGGGCTGTGTCTCCCTGTGTGTTTCCTAATTGTGCTGTGTCTTCCAGTGACGTGGGCCCAGTCTGTGCCCTGGAGACCACCCTATACCCTGAGTCCTGTGTGTGTTCATGGGACCATGAAGGCCTGCAGGTATTACATGTCTAACCGTGAACTTCCAAGACCATCCATGTCCGTGCAAGCCAGGGGCAGCTCCTGGAACCTCACTGTGATGACTTAGCATGAATAAACCTCCTGACTGAGTGAGCATGTTTCTGTGGGTGTGGAGACCCGGGTCTCTGCTTGGCGCCGTCTTGAGGAACCCCCTCAATCAGAGACCAAGTCTCCCCAGAGGAAAGGGCAGGTGTAGACGTGCTGCTCCCCTGCAGGCACATGACTGTGACTTGTCGTCACAGGTGAAAGGTTGGAAGGAGCCCCTGACCTTGTGGATGGTGCAGTGAGGGCGATGGAGCCCGTTGAAGACCCCTGGGGGGAGGGGCCACCCACTGGCCCCTCCTCCTGCTCCCTTGGCCCCCAGGGTCCCCACTTCCCCCAGGAGCTGAAGTCCTGGCTGATCTAGAAACTGTTCCCTCTGGTGGCTTCTAGAGGCGAACAGCACAACTGGCTCCTCTGCTTCCAGAGTGCCAGAAATTTTACTGTCACCTTCCTCTGCCCTCACCCATCTTGCAGATACCAGGATGCTTTTTGGGGCTCTGTTAAAAAAAAATTCCCCTCCCTCTCCCTCCTTTCCTTCTCCTCCTCTCCCTGTCCTTCCTCCCACATCCCCCTCTAGTCCCCCTCCTCCTCCGTCCGCCCCCCGCCTCCCCCTGCCTCTCCCCTTCCTCCCCCTCCTCTCTCCCTACCCCGCTCCTCCCCCCTTGCCTTCCTCCCCCTCTCCTGGTCTGGAGCTGACTGTGACAGTCCTTGCAGAGGAAGTCGTGAGATGCCATTCAGTTCAGTTCATTTCAGTCGCTGAGTCGTGTCTGACTCTTTGCGACCCCATGGACTGCAGCATGTCAGGCCTCCCTGTCCATCACCAACTCCCAGAGTTGACCCAAACTCATGTCCATTGAGTCGGTGATGCCATCCAGCCATCTCATCCTGTGTTGTCCCTTTCTCCTCCCGCCTTCAATCTTTCCCAGCATAAGGTCTTTTCAAGTGAGTCAGTTCTTCGCATCAGGTGGCCAAAGTATTGGAGTTTCAGCTTCAACATCAGTCCTTCCAATGAATATTCAGGGCTGATTTCTCTTAGGATGGACTGGTTCGATCTCCTTGCAGTCCAAGGGACTCTCAAGAGTCTCCCACTCTAATAATGAGAACAAGCCAGTTAAGCCACACACACACACACACACACACAAAGAATAGACTTAAATGTAAAACATAATACTATAAAGCATAATATATAGAAAAAAATAGAATATTTTCATGATCTTGGATTAGACAAAGATATCTTAGTCATGACCACATTCCACCGATAACAGAAAAAGTAGATAAACTGGATTTCATTAAAATTAAAAACTTTTGTTCCATGATAGACACTGTTAAGTTAATGAAAAGACAAGCCATGGATGAGAAGAAAGGACATATCTGACAAAAGACTTGGATCCAGACTAGGGGACTTCCCCGGTGGTCCAGTGGCTGGGACTCCATGCTTCCAATGCAGGGGCCCCGGGTTTAATCTCTGGTCAAGGAACTAGAGTCCACATCTCACAACTAAGAGTTCACATGCGACAACTAGAGATCCTGCGTGCTGCAATGAAGATGGAAGATTCTGTGTGCCCCAACTCAAGACCTGGTGCAGCCAAATAGAGAAATAAATATTAAAAAAAAAAAAAGACAAAAGATTTGAATAGGCATTCCACCAAGACAATATACAGATGGCCCAGAAGCACGGGAAAGCATGTCCACCATCAAGAGTACTGAGGGAAGCACAGAGCAGGCTGAGGTCTAGCCTGTGATTAGAGGGACCACAGACTGGGATGCTGAGAGCTTCGGCCACCTGCTGTGACCCTAACCCAGGTGGCCTCATGAGCAGCAGGTGGCAGCCAGGTGAACACTCACCCAGGTGCACAGAGAACTTGTATCCCACAGAAATCTGCTCAGATCTATCCAACATCACTGGACAGATGACCCAGTGCATCCCCAGGCAGGAGGTTGAGCCGCCCAAGGAGGAGTGGCCTCAGAGACCACATCCGCTGGGTCCCATCCACGTGATTCTCCAGAAAAGACCCAACTGGGCCAAGTCAGCTGAGTGGCTGTGTGGCTGGGGTGGTGATGGACTCACACAGCAGGGCTTCTGGGGGGTGAGGAGATGCGAAGGGTCCTGGTTGTGGTGGGAGCAAATGGATCTGTGGCTTTTCTCACAGCTCATCTGTTTTGGGGGATGATCTTTAATGTCATCATACCTGTGAGACTGACATGAAACAAGGCCTTGGGAGCGCTGATGTTTTTGACTTTGTGTGGTAGGGAGGCAGGACAGACTTGAGGAGACAGGGAGCCACCAAGAGCTGAGGACGCTCAACTCCCACCCCGCACCGAGGCTGGCCTCCTGGCCTGCGGGACTCTCAGGAAGATGGGCTAGGAGTGGCCACCCCTGGGCAGCATGGGGTCGCCCGTGGGCCGAGGTTCGCTGCAGGGTGCTTTCCTTCCCCCGAAAGTCCTGTGGAGGCAAGGTGAGTCTGCAGGAGGCCAGAGAGGCCTGCAGGCTCCACCCCAGCTTCGGTCTCGCCCCTCCCCTCTCCTCTGCCCACCCCTTCCTCCTCCTCCCTCGTCCCTCCCCCTCCCGTCTCCCTCCTCTCCCCTCCCTCTTCCCTTCCTCGCCACACCCCTCGCTCCCCACTTCCCAGGCCACCACTAGTCCACTTTCTGTCTCTGCGAATTTGCCTGCTCTGGATACTCCGAGTAGACAAACTCGCACAATCCGTGGCCACAGTGGCTTCCTTCACTGAGCGTGATGCTCTCAAGGCTCATCCACATTGTGGCAGGACTTTGTTCCCTTTTTTCCACTTGAGTTTGTACATGTTGTTTGTCCAGCATGGGTGGGTGGACATGTGAATTGTTTTCCACTTTTACTACTAGTAAAGCTACTGCACACATTCCTATGCATGTTCTCTGTGGACACAGGTTTTTAATCCACTGGGCGTGAATCAGGAGCAGCATGCTGGCTCTGAGGATTACTCTGTTTCACCTTTTAGGAAACTGCCAGATGACTTTCCCGCACACCTGCACCTTTTCACACTCCCGGGGCCTGTGTGAGGCCTCCAAACTGTCCACACCCTAGACAACGCCTGCTACCATCTGTCTTCTTGGTCCTGGCCAACCCAGGGGGCAGGAAGTGGAGCCCAGAGTGACTGCAGTTCATTCTTTAAGAACAAAGCTGGGGCTTCCCAGGTGGTCCAGTGGTTAGGACTTTACTTTCACTGCAGGAGGCACTGGTTCAATCCCTGGTTGGGGAACTAAGATCCTACAAGCCACAGGGGCAAAAATAAAAACAACAAAACCAGAAGGATCCCTCGCCTTAGCTCAGAATGTTCTTGAGACACTAGGAGTAGAGACCAGAGCTTTGCTGTGGCCAGGGTCCTCCCCACTGCCCAGGGAGCGGGGTGGGGTGGACTGTCCCCGGGTCCTGCCCCACCCACCCCCTCGCTCCGCTCTTCTGGGGCCGGTCTCCCGCCGCAGGGATTTCTCAGGATCCGCCCCAGAGCCTCGCGGAGTCCCCTACTCCCCGTACTCAGACACCCGGTTCTCAGCGGTATCCCGGCCATGCTAGTTCCAGCCCCTCCTTGTCTCCTCGGGCGTCGGGACCTCCCGGGGATCCGGACATTTTGCCTGTTTATCTCTCTGATGCACCCACAGCAGCCGCTGTCTGCGCTTCGCTAGCGGAAGGAAGGTTCGGAGGAACGTTGATGTAACTGCGCCGGCACCATCCGGGGCCGCCAGGGGGCGCTGTGGGCCGCCAGTCGGCCAGGCTCCCAGGCAGCCTGCAGGTGCTTGCTCCTCCGGGGATGAGGACAGACTCTGACATTTTCCCTTTTCATCGGGAAAACAGCAGTTTGCCCACTGCCTCGTTCAGGTTAACGCGGGGGGAGCACCTGCGTGCGAGGAGATTCCTGGCGGCTACTCCGGGGTCCCCGGGACCTGAGAGCCTCCCAGTGTGGCCTCGATCTGGCGGCTGTTCCCCAGGAAACGGCGGCGACCTGGTTCCTCGGCCTCCAGGAAAGCCTGGTCCCCTCGAGGCCGGTGCTTCTCCGCGAATGTGGAGAACGTGGTGTCCGGAGCCTGATCGGCCCCCGCATGGCTGACAGAGCCTGGGATTGGGGTGGGGGGCGTGCACGCTCTCTCCTCCTCAGGTCCCCACGCGGTCATTCCATGTCTGTGTCCTGATCTCCTCTTATAAGGACACCAGAACTGTGGGATTAGCCCCACCCTATGACCTCATTTGAATTCAGTCACCCCTTTAAAGGTTCCCTCTTCCCATACTCAAATCCTGAGGCCCTGGGGGTCAGGGCTTCAACATCTGGATTTCAGTTCAGTTCAGTCAATCCGTCGTGTCGGACTCTTTGCGACCCCAAGGACTGCAGCATGCCAGGCCTCCCTGTCCATCACCAACTCGGGGAGTTTACTCAAACTCATGTCCATCGAGTCGGTGATGCCATCCAACCATCTCATCCTCATTTGTTCCCTTCTCCTCCCGCCCTCAATCTTTCCCAGCATCAGGGTCTTTTCAAGTGAGTCAGTTCTTCACATCAGGTGGCCAAAATATTGGAGTTTCAGCTTCAGCATCAGTCCTTCCAATGAAATTCAGGACTGATTTCCTTTAGGATGAACTGGTTGGATCTCCTTGCAGTCCAAGGGACTCTCAAGAGTCTTTTCCAACACCACAGTTCAAAAGCATCAATTCTTCTGACCCAGAAGAATGGTCACATCCATACATGACCACTGGAAAAACCATAGCTTTGACTAGACGGACCATCTGGATTTGGGGGGACAAAATTCAGCCCACAACACCCTCCAAGACATTCTGGAAACATGTTAGATGGGAGGAAAGAGCTGCCAGGCCCAAGGCCCTGGGGAGAGGAGGAGAGGGAAAGGAGCAACCACGTGGGATTCCTCCTGTCTGTTGCCTTGAAGGCCTCCACCCCCATTGGCCTCCTCACCATCCTGGTGGCCGGGTTTGGTGACAGAGAACTCCTGGGAGGAGGGACCCGGGGATGCACCTCTGGTCCAGGGCTGGGCAGAGGGGAGGAGGGGTCTGCAGGGGAGTTGGTGACAGGTGATCCGAGGGCCACCTTCCACAGGGGCTCAAAGGCGTCACTCGCTGGTGGTGGCCCTGCTCACAGCCCTGTCTGAGGCCCGACAGCTGGGTGACAAAGGGGACTTTGCTGGGGTGGGTAGGACACAGCCTGGGACACCTCCCTGCAGAAGGAACTCGGGTGATTCTTTGTTCAAAGCAAGTCACCCAAGGGCTCCTACGTCACGGGTAGGACAGGACGACCTCCTCTGAGAAGTGAGAACAGCACGCCTCCCCCTGAGGCGTCATCGCCCCCCAGAGTTCATATGCAAAATGTGCCCACCTGCGGTATGGGGGAGTGGGGCTACAGCTTTCCTGGCTTCTTTCCCTCAAAACGTTTTTTTGGGTGTGTGAGCCCACAGTTCTTTCGTTTGTTTAATTGTATTTATTTTTGGCTGTGCCAAGTCTTGGTTGCTGCCTGCGGGCTTTTCTCTAGTTGCAGCGAGTGGGGGTTAATCTCTAGCTGCTGTGCACGGGCTTCTCTTGTTGTGGAGCACAGGCTCTAGAGCTCGTTCTCAGTAGCTGCGGGCTCCCAGGCCTAGCGGCTCCGTGGCATGTGGAATCTCCCTGGACCAGGGATCAAATCCATATCTCTTGCATTGACAGATGGATTCTTTACCACTGGACCACCAGGGAAATCCTCCCCAAACTTTTTATTCTATATTCATGGAATGCAACTTTTTAAAAATTGTGGTTAAAATACACTTGACATAAAAATTTCCTTCTTAGCCATTTTAAGTGCACAGCTCAGGGGCCTTAAGTACATTCACACTGAGAGACCATCCCACCACCATCTCCACTTATCTTCCTAAATGGAAACTGGACCCTCAAACTCCTGACATTTTTGCAGGCTTCCAGCATCAAGAAGGGCCAAGCCCGAGGCTCCCCTGCCTGTGAACTGTTGCCGGCGCCATCTCTTTGAAAAAGTGTGAGTGATGAAGGCGACCCCTTGGTATGGGATCCACCTGGTGGTCACTGCACAGCACAACCTCTTTCTGCACTAAGCAGCTCTGGTTTAAAGCTGCGCTGGTCCCCAGAACAAACTAATTCTCCAGGATGTGGAGCCACAATGGAGGAGATGGTTGGGGGAGGGGTGCCCTGACTCCTGCTACGTGTAACGGGGACACGTGCAGGGGAGGTTGGTGGCCATCACTGGACAGACTTACTCCATGTGGTCTCCCCACAAACTCTGATAAGAAATAACAAAAGGTGTTAGTTACCCAGGGTAGGGTTTTTAGATCATCTCTAGGTGGTTAATCTCTGAGGTTCCGAGGCTTGGGGGCAACCACACCCCTGGAAGTACTTTGTGGCTTCAATGACATGGTGGAGAGAAAGCAGGTGCTTTGTGGTATTTATACCCTGAGTGATGAATGTGGCAATTAGAGCCTGCAGTCCTGTGGGAGGTTTGCTGGGGAGCAGGCGGGGGAGGGGAAGGATACATCCCAGGGGGCGGGGTGAAGGGCATGGGAGGGGGAGAAGACCCAGAGATTTGGATTTTGCAAAATATAATAAAGACAAAACTCTGAGAGTCTGATAGACAAAAGGGGAAACACCAATGAGCCTGAGGAATGTGAAAGGTAACAGAGTCTCAGAGGAAAGACAGTTTGAAAGAAGGTAAGAAGTGTGTGGTGTGGACTCCACACTGAGGTGCCCATGTTCCTCAGAGAGCAGATCCATTCCTAGGAAGATAAAATGAAATGTTAGTCGCTCAGTCGTGTCCTACTCTTTGCAACCCCATGGATTAGAGCCCTCCATGGAATTCTCTGTCCATGGAATTCTCCAGGCAAGAATACTGGAGTGGGTTGCCATTTCCTTCTCCAGAGGATCTTCCCAACCCAGGGATTGAACCCAGGTCTCCTGCATTGCAGGCAGATTCTTTACCATCTGAGCCACCAGGGAAGCCCTCACAAAGATAAAAATTGCCTAAATTGTCTCTAAAACCACAGATTAATGCTGAAGATCAGAAAGGGTCAGTGTTCTGGCCGGGAGCAGGCTTGCCGGGACCTCCTGGTGGGACAGATGTGGTCACAAACAGGACATCCTCAGAAAGACGTTGGCAAGGTTGCCAGGCAACATGTTAAATAGCCACAGAAGCACAGGAAACTACGTCTCAACTTTCCCCCTTCAGGACTCAGGGAAGTAGAATAAAATTTGGTCACCAAAGAGCCATTGGATTAAAAGTGGTCAAGTGTGCAACTTACAAAATCATTTTAAAACTAAGAGTGCCTGGACTGCCCCGGTGGTGCAGTGGCTAAGAATCCGCCTGCCAATGCAGGGGAGACGGGCTCGATCCCTGGTCTAGGAAGACCCCACATGTGCGGAGTAACTAAGCCCCAGTACCACAATTACTGAGCCTGTGCTCTACAACCCATGTGTCACAAGTACTGATTGAAGCCCAAGAGCCTAGAGCCTGTGCTCTGCAACGAGGGGCCACCACAAGGAGCAGCCCATACAGCAGAACCAGAGAGTAGCTCCCGCTCGCCGCAACTGGAGCTGCAAAGGAGACCTATTGCGATTAAAAAAGAAATTATCAATATAATAAATTAAAATTGTATATTGAAAAAGAAAAAAACAACAACAACTAAGAGTGCCTGACTCAAGGCAGTGATGGTCATGCAGGAGAGCATGGGTTCACGTGGTCACACTTGGCCTTTTCACAAGAACTCAAGCAAGCCAGCACAAAGGTCGTTCAGTGTTAGGACAGCTGCTTGTGTGATGTGTGACATGAGCAGACTCAAGGAGAAAATCCACACGGTCAACTGATAGATAATTAGACCTGTGTCTCATTTAAAAATTAAAAAGTGAGCTAACCAAGATGAAAACCTGCCAACCGAACATCAAAGTCCCCGCTGTATTTGTACAGCATGTATCATGCTGGAACAGTGGGCATCCTCTGGGGAGTCCCAGCTCAGGGGCCGCCCAAGGGGTCAGTGAGAAGATGCTGAAGGACAGCCAGACTGTTCCTTCTTGGAGTTGACCTCCCAGTCTACCTGGAGACTAAGAGAATCAACAGAAGGACTACTGGAACCAGTAGGAGGATTCGGCCGGCCCCTTAGCCCGGAGAGGTCAGGTTGCGCTGCTTTGGCAATAGCCGCAGGTCTCAGGGCTCTGGTCTGTGCCCCTGCACCAAGAGCCAGGCCCACAGAGCAGCCCCCTTGGGAGCAGTCCTAGTTCTGAGGTCCGGGGGTGCCAGACCAGCAATCAGATGGCCCCCTGCTCAGAAGCAGTGTATGGCCCTTCCACGGATGACCACTGACCAGGGTGAGTCCCCCAGCCCCACGCCCCACAAAAGGCCTGTGGTACAATCCTCCCACCTGGTTACCCTTGGTAACCAGCACTGAGGCCACAGGAAGGGCTCAGATACACAACAGATAAGCAGACCAGGAGCTCTCTGCACAGCTGTCACAGACAACGAGGACACACAGCTTTACTGAAAGCATAAGTGAAGTGAAAGTTGCTCAGTCGTGTCTGACTCTGTGACCCCATGGACAGTCCATGGAATTCTCCAGGCCAGAATACAGGAGTGGGTAGCCTTTCCCTTCTCCAGGGGGTTCTTCCCAAGCCAGGGATCGAACCCAGGTATCCTGCATTGCAGATGGATTCTTTACCAGCTGAGCCACAAGGGGGAGCCCAAGAATACCGGAGTGCATAGCCTATCCCTTCTCCAGCAGATCTTCATGACCCAAGAATCAAACTGGGGTCTCTTGCATTGCAGGTGGATTCTTTACCAACTGAGCTACCAGGGAAGCCCAGTGAAAGCATAAGACACCTAGGAATACATATAAGCTGTGAGACAGCTGAAGGGAATTAAAACCTTTACCAAGAGAAAAGGAAACAAATACATTAGTGAGAGTTCTGTGATAGACCAGGAAGGATCAACATTGGAAAGGTGTCAGTTCCTCCCAAATTTATCTATAAATCCAATGCTATCCCAACATAATGGCCAGAGGACAAAACTAGCAGAATTTGATAAGCTAACTCTAAAGTTCACATGGAGAAAACCTGCAAGAATGGTGGCAACAGCCTCCCTAGAGGCCTCCTTCCTGGGTCCTAAGGGCGTCCTCCTGGGCACCCTGTTTCTCTTGGTTTACACCTTTATTTTACGGCAGTATGTCCTCCAGCAGCTCCGAAAGAAAAGATGCAGTGAATTAATATATGTCTGAATCCTTGCGTGTCTGAAATGTCTTTTTGGCTGGTATTTGACCGGGATGTTGTAAAATCACTACTTTAAGATGTCCCACTCCACTTAGCTTTTATTCTCCCCCAAATTCTATTAGTTGGAGGCTGGACATCCTGGGAGGTTGTTCAGCTTTTCTCACATTTATTCACTGTCTTTTTAACTTTCTAGGCGATTTTACAAATTCTATCTTTTAATGCTTTTATTGAAACATTTTATTTGACAATCACTTAACTTCACAGACCTTTCCTGGAGATGGCGCTGCAGTGTGGACTGTGGGTTCCTGGAGGCTGGTGCTGCCTGACAGACCATGGTCCCTATGGACCACTATCGTAGGTTACAGTTGTTCAGAAACATGCCGGTATGGAGGGTGTTTCCCCCCAGCGGGCAGAATTCCACTGGTGATTTTGTTCCATGAAAAATCATGCCCTTTGGGAAGACATTCCGTTAGAGAACGTGATCCCTTGAAAACAAGGTCCCTTAGAGATGGCCTGCCCCAGGGCAGATACCAACCCTACCCTGCAGGGGACGTGCTGCCAGGGGCCCTCCTCTGAAACCAGGCAAGAAGCACAGGCCTCCTCCCCGTGTCCCTGTGGTTCAATGCAGACTGTCATTTGGCTTTAACTCAAACATTTAATCCCTTCCTGTGATATCCCTGGACTCCCAAGTGGTCTCGGTCAAGGGCAGGCCCTGAATGGCATCCATCCTCCAACTACACCTACGCCTGAGGCCCCAGGGCCCTGGGTGCCGAGCTGGCTGGGCCTCTGCTTCTCAGGGTCTGCTCCACGGGGACCCTGCAAGCGCTGTGGGGCGTGGCCCGGGTGACCGGGCGGAGCAGCCCAGGGTGAGTGTGGTCATCAGCCTCCCACAGTCCGTCAGCAGAGCACGGTGACAGGTGCTCCTGACACTCTGCTGTGGAGGCTACCAATGAGACAAAGGAAAACCAGGCCGTGTGGGAGGAAGGCACTATGGCCGGCTGGGGCTGGTCCCTGGGAACCAAACTCCTGTGGAGAAGGCCCTGGAGGGTGCTCTGGCCGCAAGTAACCAGGAGCATCTCCCTGGGGATGAAGGGCAGGCCCCCCCCTCCTCCCCCCGCTCTCCATGGGGACTCCAATGGGCTTAGGCTCCAGGAAGTTCTGAGCCAGGCTCCTCACCCTAGAAAGCCAATTCAATTGGGGTGCAATGCCAGGGCCCCATTTCCAAACCATGCCAGGGTAGGGCCCTGTGCTGAGCACAAGCAGCTGCACAAGCCCCACTGCAGGGTGGGCACCCCCACACCTGTGTCCTTCAGCAGGTCAGGGCAGCAGCTCTGCCCCCGCACCCCTCCTTGCTGAGATCTCCCCTCTCCAACAATGGTCACCTGCTCTGCTAGGGGAGCAGGGGGCGAGGCCAGCCCTCCCGAGGACGTGCACCCTGACCCCCAGTGCACAGAGAAAAACCACCCAGAGGACAAGTTCGGGGCTGGGGTGATGTGGCAGGTGACAGGGTGGGGACTGTGGGACCAAAGCAGCTGAAGGCAAGATGGAGATGCCAGCAAAGGTCAGAGGGAGGAGCCCCAGCAGCGGGAACTGCTCTGGGGAGCGAGCCCAGGGGAGGCAGGGCAGACCTGGAGGGTGGGAGCCAGGGGTTGGGGGAAGTAACTGGGGGCGGGTACATTACCCCCACCTGCCACAAAGCCCCACAAAACACTCAACCACCTTTTCATCCAAAATCAAGGCTGTATTTACCTTCATTGGTTGATGTGAGAACAGATCGTTTAAAATAACCGGGTTCTACCGTGAAAACACGGGGTTGAAACTACAGAACGGAATAAAGTAAACAGCCAAGGATGGCCAAACCGAGGATCCAACGCTCAGGACACAGGTGTGGACGTCAGGAAAAAAGGGATACTGACGACAGGGCATGGTGACATTCACGGGGTTATGAAAGTAAGACTCAAACTGAAAGGAACTCATGCCAAAGCCTTGGCAGGTGGGAGAACATGAGACCAATGTCTTCTGACAGGCTTCGTGGAGAAGAAACACGGGTTATTTCTTTTGTGATCAGCCTTGAGCCTCTTTACCTCCCAATCCCTACTCATCTAGGGTGGATCCCCAGGGCACCGCATAGCCAGCCCGAGGTGCACGCACGTCCCAGGGCCGCTCTGCGGTCCCCCAGCGGCCTGGCCGCTCAAGCGCTTGCATAGTTGAAGGATGTTGCTGCCATTAAACGTCTGAGGGCAGTTCCAACTGACAGCAGGTGGGTTGTTGTGACCACCTTAAACAAATAACCAGAGAAATTTCTAGAAACTGTTTTTATAAAGTCTACCTAGGTTAAGAATTTAATAACATCATATATTTATATTAACAGACTATTTACAGTTTAATTTTTCTTTTTAAAAAAACAAACCGAAAAAGAAACCCTTTTACACTTCTGCATAATAAGGCAAAAAAAGCTTTGTACATTATTATCTTAATATATATCTGTAACTTCGGTTCCAAGTACCAAGGGAGGGCCAGGGCCGGGCCTGAGTGGGGGCCTCACAGTGCATTGGACAAAATGACCGTTTTTTTTTTTTTCTCCATAAATAAGACAAAAAAACCCCAGGGGTTCTGGAGACGGATCTGAGGCCATTAAATTGCAAAACCAAACTAAAAGTAAAAAAGCAAAAGTGTCTTTCGTTTCTCTTAAGTGTCTAAAGAGCACAAAGTTGAAAAAAATACAAATCTATTAAAAATGCTTCTCACCTGTGGGAAAAAGGTACAAACTTGAATTTTTTTTCCAGAAGCCTAATTTCAAGCTCGGAAAACAAAAGATCACCCCCATAAAAGCTGTGTGTGACACCCCCGACGCTGCGAGTGGAAAAGTGAGCGTCGCCACCCCAGGGCCGATGGAACTGTGCTTAAGTTCTAGAAACGGAGGTTTAGAAAAGTGGACAGCAGTGCGTTCCTGGCGGGAGCGGCCCCGCGGCCACTACCGCGCCTCCACCTCCTGGGGGTTGCGGGAAGGGGAGTAGTCGCGGGCCTCGCCCGGCGCGCGGGCCCCCAGCGGCGTAGTCCTGCTCCGCGGCTGCCCGGGGGGCGTGGGGGGCCCGCCTGCGGCCACCAGCGGAGGCGGAGCGTGTCGCGCGACGGCTCCCACGCGAAGGCTGGGCGCTCGCGGCCTGCGGGGCCCGGGCCGGGCTGTGGGGGCGCATCGCCGTCCTCCCCGCGCTCCTCCTTGACCTTCACGTCGCTCTGGGACCGCTCGGCCGGCGCCTCGTGCGGCTTCCCGGGCTCACGGCCCAGGAGACCAGCCAGGCGCAGGCCTTCCCCCAGGGCCATCTTGCTGGGCTTGGGGCCGTCCTCCCTGGCCGGGGAGCGGCTCTCCTTGATGCGGAGCTCAGCCTCGCGTTCGGTGGGGATCCCGGGCCGGCCCGGATCGCCCTGGCCCCGGAGCAGGAGGCCACTGCCTGGGTGGCCCACGGGCGCCGCCGGAGAGGCCCGGCTCAGCAGGCGTGTCTTTTCCAGGAGGTCCCTGGGAGTGACAATACAGACACCCCCGCTCAGCCCGACGCGACACCCTGCAGCGAGCTCCTCTGCCACTAAGGTCCCACCCTCAACGCGGCACCGGCACTGTCACTGCAGCGACCTCAGGCTCCTTGTGTGTGGGTGTGTCCACTTAGCAGCCCAGGTTCCTTGTGATTACTGCTAGTGGCACCCATCAACACACACATGGTGATCATAGCCCACACACCCCCAAGTGCACCCCCATACCTGCCTCCCCGCCCACAGGCAACTTTGGAGCCCAGCTTTGCAGCAGCAGCACAGACTTCTCCACCGGAACCCAGGCCACTCAGCCAGGAGAAGCCCTTCAGTGGGGGGGGGCCCTCCATGCCCCCTCAGACCCACTGATCCTCTAGAGGGACAGGGCTCTGAAACCCTCTTCTGGTGGGTGTGTGTGGCCTGGGTGGGGCGCACAGAGTGCTGCCTGCCCCATCCCAGTCTGGTTCTCACCCATGAGGCGCCACTCTACGTTTTAGCCCTTTGGCCCTGAGACTGGGAGCAAGATGGGCATGGCCTCCACCCTGATGAGGGGCTGGGATGGCAGCTGAGCTTAAGCGCATCAGGTGCCCAGGTCCCCTTCCAACCTTCACTGCTGCACCTGGCCACTCTTACTGTACTTGCAGCCCGCCCTCTTGACCCTGATGTCCCCACGGGGGGCTGTAGTTCCCTGGGCTGCTCCCCAGCACCCTTCCTGGGGCCTGTGACAAATGTCCCCGTCGTCTTCTAGGCCACCCCCTCCCTCACTGTGCTCTCAGGCTCTGCCCAATACCTAGCTTGCAGCAATGCCCGGACCTGGCCGGAAGGGCTGGCCAGGGGGCCTTCCTCTGCTCCTGTCTGCATGCTGGCCCATGACTCAAATCCCGGACTCTGACACTCGCCTGTTAATGCAGGCTCCCTCCTGCCTTGCCCTGGCCTAGCTCTGCTGCCCGTGGGGTGAGGGGTGGGAACACACAACCTCAGCTCCCATCCTCCAGCCCAGGGAGCTCCCCACAGGTGTACCTCCCAGACCTGGCACCCCCTGGTGGGTCAGCAGCCCACCTCCAGACCCCACTGTGGTGCAGAAGCCCACCATCCCTGCCAGGGCCTTGGAAGAAGTAACCCTCATCCTGGATGGTACCTGCCCAGACCGTGCCCCAGCAAGTCTTCTGTGGGAACAAGGTGGAGAGTGTGTGGACTCGGGGGTCCCCTTCCCCCGGTCTTTCTGCAGTCTTTGTGTCCTCCCACAGAAGGAGATTTCAGTTTGCGCCCTTGGGTTCAGCAGAGGTGGCTGGGGGCTGCAGGTGCTGGGTGGGGGTGGGGGCCAGACAAAGTGGAGGGGGCAGGGAGCTGGCAGAACAGGCAAGTGGAGGGGCCCCTACTCACCGGTCCCGCTCCTCCTTGCCCTTGTCCAGCTCTCGGTCGTGGTTGGTCAGGGCTGAGACCCGCTCGGCGTCTACAGGCTTGGGCCACGGGGGTGGTGTGGGGAAGGAGGGTGGTGCTCGGTGCAGCCGGTTCCAGGCCTCGTGGGGGCTGGGCAGGCCATGTAGGGTGGGGCCTTCCTTGGGGGCAAAGATGCCACCGCCACTGGGAGCTGGAGTGGGGGTGGTGGCAGAGGGTGAGGCCAGGGTGGCAGGGAGGAGCACACACAGGGAGATGCCCAACCCCAGGCCTGCGTGTGCCCTGAGGAGACAAGGGGTGACAGTCCACCCGGTGTCATTGTAGCCCTGATGCATGCCCATGCCCGAGTGAGGGGAGAGCAGGCGGCAGGGTCACTCACTCAGCGCGTGGCTGCCGAGGCCTCCGAAGGCGTTGCTGCCCAGGCTCCCCAGGCCCCCAAAGGTGCTTGATCTGGTGAAAGGGTCTGTGGGAACAACAAGCACTCAGAGATTTCTGTGTGCACCAGGACCTCCCCCACCCTGGGGCGCCAAAACCTGGCAGGTTACCACCTGCACAATCCAAGGGTGCCCTGGTTCTTGGGGGTCAGCACAGGCCAGTCAGACTGCACAGACCTCAGGGGACACCTACCTGTCAAGTGACCAGTGGGCAGGAAGCTGCCAGGATGCGCTGAGGGTCCAAACGGGTTGGAGGCGGGATGGGTGGCACCTGCAGAGGGGGAAGGCTGTTGGAGGCCTGGGTGCACCCGGGGCCCCATCTCTGCCTCCTTCGCAGGGTGGCTGCACCCTGGTGCTCCACCTCCCCTTTCAAGCTCAGGACCAGCTGGGAGGTAGGCTCTCATCTCCGTGAGTCCGGAGGACCAGCACGCAGGGGAGCAGGGAGGGAGGTGCTGATGGCAGTGAAGGCCCCAGAGGAAACACGGCAGAGAAGGGCCTGAGGCTGAGCCGTGAGGCGCTGCTCCCGCAGCCAGCTACCTTCTGAGGGCCCAACCAGAGCTAACAATCCTGGTTGTGACAGTGAGTGCGGCCTGGTGCAGATGGACCACGGCCCGAAGACGGCAGCCCCTCTGGTGGTGTCCCCTGGCTATAGGCTGCAGCCCACAAGCATCGGTGCGATGTCAGCCCCACTCTCCAGACGCCCCTCAGAACCCAATCTGGAGGGCCCAGTCCCGAGAAGGGGCTGCTGGGTCAAGGGCTGACTCTGCCACTTAGGGTGTCCCACCTTCTGTCTAGAGGTGAATTTCTGGTGAGACCTGTGAGAGGGGTGCCCTCTCCTGTCTCTCCAGCTCCTTCCACCTGTGGGGACCCCAACAATGGAGTGCTCCTGCCTGCCTGCTGTGGGCATCACAGGCGGGCTCTTCCACCCAGACAAATGCAGGATTAGTTCCCAGAGAGCTTCCACCTAGAAACGTGATCTCATTTCTAAGTGACCTTGTGAAGAAATCAAACCAGAAGTTAGGAAACAGCTGGTCCAGTGCTGAAGAGGATGCTATGAGAGCATGTGGAGGGCAGTCAGGGAAACGTGCTGCCTTAAAAAGCTACACCCCGAGGAAAGGCCAACAAGCCGATACTCCCTGGGGAAGAAGATGGAAGAAACATACACGCCAGATTGCAGAGGGGAGGGAAACCAGGCGTCAGGTAGGCCCTGGTCTGGGTGGGGCATGTGCTGTGGGAAGTGGGCACACAGCAGGACAAGGCCATGGGTGGAGGGAAGCACAGAGGGGCCCAGGCCACAGTCTGTAGGCTATGGCCTAAGAAGTCTGCTGGCCGCCAGGGCTGAGGCCCAGATGGGAGGCTCTCTGCTTTCTGAGGGACCCTGACACCGGGGAGACGTCTCTGCCCTGACTGGGGACTGGAGGTCATGAGGGTGGTGGAGTGGGGGCTGGGAAGAGCCGCCCAGCTCACAGGCCAGCCAGCATGACCCCATCACACCGGTGCGCTAACAGGCTGTCTACAGGGACTGACATGACAGGAAGCGAGCATGAGCTTGTGCCAGAGTGTGAACACAGTGGATGTGAGGAGTGGTCAGGGAAGGTTCTCTGAGGAGGTGACATCCTTCAAGGGCCTGATGGCTGGGGAGGAAGCAGGAGCTGCCTTGTGGCCTCCAGACCATCACCCTGAGGCCTGCTGCACAGCTGCCCTGGGCCGGCGTCTGGGAATTCAGGTTTCAGGAGGTTTCTCACCTTCCTCTGATAGGAATGCCTCACTCACATGTGCTCAGATTGTGCAGTGTCGTCTGTGCTGAGCACCCACTTTCCTTTCGGGAGTCTGGGTTTTGGTCCAGGCACACACAGGTGCCTACTTGACTGGCCCCCAGTAAGAAGCCAGGACGCTGGGTCCCCACAAGCTTCTCTGGGAGACAGCCTCTCACCCTGTTGTCAGGGCTCCTTTCTGGGGAATAAAGTGCATCCTGGGGCTCCTCGGGCAGTTCTCAGGAGACACCCACTTCCACCCTCCCCCCCATTCCTTGCTGACAGATGCAGGTCCCTTGGCTACAATGCATATAGCTGGTGGGGTGTGAGACGTGGGCTGAGTCCCGGGGGCGCTGCAAGCCCAGCGATGGTCCTAGGGACCCCGACACAGTGAGGCCGTGGTGTGGCTGCTGGCGGAGGTGAGCACGGAACAGAGGCTCTGGAGCAGTTTCCCACCATTTGGACAACAGCCGAACCCTTCCTGGGAGGGAAGCCCCAGAGAGGAGGGTGTCCTGGGCCAGAGCATGGGCGGGGTCAGATCAGCGGTGGGGACACCACTGGGGGTGTGGAGGGAGAAGCCTGAGGCAGGCAGGACTGCCAGACCCCACCTGCTACAGCTGGAGAAACAAAAGCGCTGCCCACACAAGCCAGAGGAGAAAGGCAAGAGCGCGGCTGCCAGGCCACCCCTGGGACTGCACGGTGGCCGGGCTGCCAGCCCCCCTGGGCCAGGCCGCCTTACCCGAGCTGGAGAAGAGGGGCCGGGCCAGGTCCTGCGGGCAGTGGAGTCCGGCGAACACGCCCGGGGCGGGGGGTCTGCTGAACAAGTCCAGCTTGGTGCCCACGTCCAGCTTGTGGGGCTCCAGCTGCATCTGCCGGGACAGAGCGTGTATAGGGGCCGGAGGCCGGGCCTCTGTCCTGCTCGCCACCAGGCTGCCGATGAGCTGGACAACAAGGTGTGATGCCCCCAGCTCCGCTGGCCTCGCTCAGTGGGCAGAGAGACAGGTAAGAGCCATCCTGACCACGTGTCAGCGATGCGGAGAAACCGAAACGTCGTCACGTGTGGTCGATATAGGAGGTTCCCGATTGCGGCGTTTCGCTCCTGTTTATATGGTCTTTGAAAGCTGGTGTTTTACACTTAAAACTCACCTCAATTTAGATGCTACATTTTCATTAGAAATACTCTGTTTAGATTTTGTAAAGTTGAGTTGGAAAAGTACATGCGCATACCCGAGTCTTTCCAGTTTTCCAATGGCTAAATTTACCATGAGTATTAAAATTTAAATGTATTAAATAAAACTAAGATGCCAGTCCCTGGGTCACTAGGGCCACAGGAGGCACGGGGCGGGCCAAGTCCGTCCCAGTTCTTCCTGCTGTGGTGACAACAGAGGGGCACCCCCACCCTGCCTCCTCCACTGCACCTTCCAGGCACGCTGCCTGAGTGTCTGCATGTTAATCCGTCATAAATCCCTTTCTGTGACTTGTCCTTTGTAACCCACTTACAGCGTGATGATTTAAAAATACCTTGAGTAAGGGTAACGTGTTACCTGAGATGACAGACAAAAGTGTGGAGACCCTTCTGTGATACAGGGTGCGGGATCCCATCCTGGCCTCCCTCAGCACCCCAGCCCACTCTCCCTGGCTACAAGTCCCCAGGCTTCCCAGGGACGCCTCTTCCCTGCATCGCTCAGCCAGGGCATCTGGCATCCCCCACTGCGGGAGGACGGCCTCAAGCTGGGTTCCTCTTCACCACCTGTCCCCCCCAGGAGCATGCAGGCTCCATGAGCACTTATGTTCAACTTTGTCCGTGGCCCACAGCAGACACTTAATAAATACTTGGGGGAAAGGGGGAGCCGGGCCAAATGCTCCCTGGGAGAGCTTTGAATGACAGACAGCAGGGAGGCCCAGCAGGATAACCCTGCCTGGGTCATCCTGGGTGACCAGCTGGGATGTGACTCTGAGTTCCCCATACACTTTCGTCCTGCTCCCCAGATCCGACCCCTGCTGGCCCGGCCCAGCGCTGGGGAAAGGGGCACATGCGCACACGTGTGGACGCTGGGGAGGGCCTGGCCCAAGAAAGGCGCCCTCTGAACCGCAGGCCTGGCTGGCAGGACGAGCAGTCCAGCTCACCTTTATCTTCTGCTGATGGTGGTAGATCTGCCAGGCGATCTGCACGTGCACAGCGCACCACTTCCCCGGCTTCTGCGACGGGGGGATGGGCTCAGCCTCGCGGCCAGAACCGTCTCCTCACTCCCCACCCCCAGATCCCTGCTGTCACAGGGCACCCCTGGGCCACCCCAGAGAGTCCTCCCTGGCCTCAGACACTCCCTGAGGTCCCACCGGGCCCCTTCCTCCCAAGGTGAGACACACACAGACCTTACACATGCAAGCACGCACACACTCACCCTGATTGCTGTCCGGTACGGGTCGGACACCTGCTGTTGACAGAGGAGAAGTGTTAGACCCAGGCTCTGCAAGCAGTCAAGCCCAGAGGAGCTGGGGAGGGGTGACTATGTGAGCCTCGTGAAGCCATGCTGGCTGGATGCCCACCCGGGAAGGAGAGAGGCAAGAACACCGCTGCCACCTACCCCGGGGGCTTTCTGCAGGAGGGTGTGAACCGCACTGGCCCGGCCTGTTAACTCGAGTGGGTGTGAAGTCTGAGGGGAGAGAGGGACACCGCACGAGACCACTTTGCAGGCTCCGTGCCCAGGTGGCACCAAACCCCCCCCCGGGTCACTGGTGTCCACCTTGCCCTCCTTGTGGGGCCCTGCACGCTGTCACCCGGGATGGTCTGGCTTCCCACCACACCCTCCGTCCGGAGGTTTCTGAAAAGGTGGCAGGAGAAGGCTCTGATCGCTGTGCTGGGTGAAGGCAGCCCCACTGCAGGGAAGGTGAGCAGAGCAAGCCCGGTCCCTGGTGCCTAGGCCTCCTGCAGTGTGGATGGCCTTGGGCGGCTGCTGTCCACACTCCACCTCTGCTCCTCTGCACTGCTCCTCCCAACCCCCAACCCTGAGTGCTCCCCGCTGAGGAGCAAACAAGTCAAGCAAGGCTCTCCTGGCCCCGAAGGTCAGGATATTCTGCACTGAGGTGAAAGCCCTTCAGGTGCCACCCGGGATCATGACTACCCTGAGAGATGCTGGATGGGGGGGGGGCGGTCCTGCAGCCCCTGCCCACCATACCCACCCCCTCCTGGGAGCAGCTGGTACCTTGGGCTGAAAAGCACCCTGCAGGGATCCAAAGGGGCCTGGGTGTGGGAGCAGGGCGGGCAGTCCTGGGACGGCCGGAGGGAAGGGCGGGAAAAACTGCAAGAGAAGGTGGGAGGGGTGTTCCAGGGGCCTCACCGGGCACTCGGACATCCTGGGCAGGGGCGTGGGGCCTGGCCCTCTGGTCCCCACCCTGCCACGCCTGCACTAGGTGGGAAGCTACATGGACAAGGCGCAGCCCGACCTCCACACCCCCCACCCTGCCTGGCGATCCCAGGGCACGCAGGGACACTCACGTTGGAATGTCGGAAGTAGGGGCTGTCCAGCTTGGGCGTGTACTTGTCAAACTGGAAGGGAAGGAGGCAGAGAGTGAGGCCTCCCAACCTTGCCGATGCCCTCCACTGGCCAAGCTCCCACCCACACCGTCAGGCCAGGCAGCGGCCAGAATGAGGCTGGCGGCCTCCAGCCAGCTGTCCTCCAGGCTCCCCGAGGGTGCTGGCCCATGGCCCTTCCCCGTTCTAGTGACCTCAGCACAGGAGGTACAGACTTGCCCACCTGGGTGTCTGCAGCCATGACTGGGAGGGGAGGGCATGGAGCCCAGGGCGGGGGTTAAGCTGCAGGGGCACACTGAGGCCACTGCTAACTGGCCAATGCCCAGGCAAAGCTGGGAGGGGGCTCTGCCCACAGCAGCTGGCTTGGGGACGAGATCTCAAGGCTCAGGAGCATGGGAAGAGTCCTGATCTGCATGGCCCCTAGTCCTGGTCCTCCTGACCTGCTGCCTTGCTGCCAACTGAGACATTGAGGACCTGACATGGGTACAACTGGACCCACGGTCATGTGGACGGGGGTGTTCACCCAAGCCCAAGAGAATGGCCCAGGGCAGGATGCTTCATGGGATGACCTGGGAGCAGGGGATGGGGGGAACCAGAGGAGGGGCTGGACGGACAGGCGGACCGAGCGGACAGTGTCAGCCTGCATGCGTGCAGAGAGCGTCTGCGTGTGCCTGCTGCGTGTCCCGCGCCCGGGGCCACCCCCTCCCGCCTGCCGGCACGCAGCCTACGCACCGGCGGGGGTGCGGCGGGTGGCAGGAGCGGCGTCGGGGGCGGCCCGGCAGGGAAGGGGGCGAATGTGTGTTGGTGCTGGTGTGTGTGCTGGTGTGTGTGTTGGTGCTGGTGGAACTCCGCCCGCAGCAGAGCTCCCGGGCCCAGGGGGGCGCTCTGGACCAGAAAACGCGCGTTCAGCTCTTGCCTGAGCAGCTCGTGATCTACAAGAGAAAAAGAGAGAGACAGAGAGGCACGTCGGCCGCGGGCTCCCGGCGGGGCGAGGCGGATAGTCACCTGGCACTCCCGGTTTCGGCAGGCCAAGCCGTGGTGGCCGCTCGCTACGTGCGGGCCCCAGGGTGGAGGTAAGAGAGGTGCCTGTGACCAAGTACCAATCAGAATCCCCGAATGAGGCTGGCAATACATGATTGGCTGGCTGAATGAGATCAACAGGCTGGCATCTAAAGGCAAGAGAGAACACGGTGAGCCACCCTGGGAGCCCGAGACAGCCCTGTCGGGGAGCCCTGCCCGTCCCAGCCTCCCCCAGACCATTGTTTTGGTCCCAGCCTGGGGCACTGAGGTGCCCCCAACTGAGCTGGGCTCAGACTTTTAGAAAAGAATTGGAGACCCATGAAAAATCCTTAGTGACCTAAGATTCGGCCATGAGGGGGGCACTTGCTGGAATCACGCAGTGAGGCAGAGGTCAGGCTAGCTGCAGTTCATCTAGGGCCCCGTTACCCCACAATTCAGCCCTATCCACCCCTACCCCCACAGCAGCCTAGGGACGGAGGGATGGGAAGAGACACACAGCAGGCCCTGGGAGCCCTGATTGCAGTGATGACTGAGCAGCTCCAAGTTATACCAACTCCTGGCTCCGAACTGCCCTACTAGGCTTGGCAAGGGTGGAGCAGGGAGTGTATGTCCGTGTACACGTGTGTGCACGCATAAATCTGTGTGTGTGCACAACTGAGGCCCTGGCAGGAAGTTTCCTCTGCCCTGCACTGATGGTCTGGAGGAGGAGGTGGGAGAGAAGTCTGTCTCTCCGAGGCCAGCCCCCGCTTCCCAGGGGCCACGTCCCTCCCTGCCCAGGGGTGAGGAACCCAGAGTGGAAAGGGAACAGGCAGTGACCCTGGCCCCACCGACGGCACCCAGACCTACCGGCGGGGTGTCCTGGGATGACCAGGCTGTTGGCCGGCAGCGCCGGGGGCGGGGGCAGTGTCGGGGGCGCGGCGAACATGGCCGCCGCGTGGTGCTGGTGCTGGGCCTGCGAGCGGAGCGCCAAGTGTGAGGTAGAGAGGTGGGGGCCCGGCCCGTGAGGCGACAGGGACGCGTGCTTGGCGAGCCCCAGGCTGGCACCGCTGCTGGCACTGCTGCTCCTGCTGCAGGGAGGGGCGCTCAGTGCCCGGCCGCGCGCCCCGCCTCCGCGCCGCCCCGCGCCCGCCTGAGGCCGCACAGGCTTGGCCCCACGCCCACCTGCGGCTGTGCCCACCTGAGGCTGTGCAGGCCGTTGTGCGCGGCCGGGCCGGGGCCTGGGAAGGCGCCCGGAGGGAGAGGCACGTGCGTCAGGAGCGGGGCCCGGGGCTGCGAGGGTGCAGGTGGCAACTGCGGGGCGAGGCGAGGCAGCGCCGGGGCTTCCTTCTTGACCAGCGGGCTGGCCGCGGTGCTGGCGGAGGGCAGGACTGGCGCAGGGCTGCGCACCGGGGCCAGGAAGGGCGGCTCGGTGCTCAGCTCACGGCTGCGCTCCAGACCCGAGACCTTGGGCGCTGCCCCGGTCTTGGCCTCGGACTTCTCGCCCAGCGTGGGGCCTGCGGAGAGAGAGGCAGGGGTGAGTCTGGGGTTCAGGATCATTTTCAAAGGGGAACTAGGCGGAACAGAGCCCCTGCCCACAACACCTTGGTATAACCCACCCCTTGCTCCCCAGGGAGGCTACCTGGCTGGAGGGCCAACCAGCAAGGTGTGTCGTGTACCTCCTGCTCACGGCCATCTCAGTGCAGGCGCTCTTATGGCCGTTTTATGGAGGGAGACTCAGAAGGTGAGAAAGCCGGCTCAGTCTGGGCACTGGGCTCCAAGGTCTGCCGCCCTATCTCCCACCACGGTAGCGTCACTTGAGTGAGTGGCTGCTCTTTCTTGACCCACCCGACTGACCCAGGGCCTAAGCTCTTTCTTGGGTCCTCACCCTGGGGGAGACTTTCTGGATGACCAGCCTTGCCTAGTCTGTTGGGAGAAAGTGGCTGCCTCAACTCATCACCACCCATAGCCTCTGCTCCCCTCTGAGCTCCAGGCCTGCCTTTGGGCCATAAGCAAGCCCGCTTGCTCATTCCAAGCCCTCCTTTTGAAGCTGCTCCAAGTGAGGTCTCAGGTCACGTGCCCAGGGGCCAGGTGGAAAGCATGTGTCCAGGCCAGGGGAGGCACCACCACCCATCTGAAAAGCTCTGCCTTCAGGGGATGACATCCCAGTTTTCCAGGAGGAATGGAAATTCAGGTTACTGAATGTGGTTGCTTCATCTGGCCTGTTGGTTGACTCCACTTCCTCCTCCAGGCCCAGGGGCCCATGCAGATGGCAGCCACGCAGAGTGACACGCTGGCCACAGCTTCCCCTGTGGCTGCAGGGCAGTGTAACCCATAACCCAGGCTGGCAGAGAGATGTCTCCTCTGCTCGGGCGACACCTCCCTGCCTTGGGCCTGTTTGCTTAGGAGCAGGCCTGAGGAGGAGGCCACTGCCACCACTCCTGCAAAGAGGACAGGAAGCTGTCAGCCCACGTGCTCATAGCTGCCTGGGGAGGCTGGCCCCCTCTCCCCTCCTGTCTCTCTCACTTCTCCACACGCAAGGCTCTTCCAAAGTGAGAGCAGCCATCAGAACGGAAAGAGGCAGGCACGGGCCATGCAGACCTGGATGTGACCCCAGGCCTGCCCCCAATGCTCCAGCCCTGCTGGCGAGTCCTGGAATCTCTAGAGCCTCCTGCCACTGACAAAACCGTGAGTGCTGCTATTGATCACCTCCCTCCAACTATGCACCTCTCTGGATACCTCAAAGCCTTGCCCAGTTCCCTGAACTCTGCTGAATCATAACCTCCAGAACCTGGCACTGTGACCTTATTTGGAAAAAGGTCTTGGTAGCCATAATCAAGCTAAGAATCTCCAGATGAGAACAGCTGGGAATCGGGGGTTGAGGGTGCCTAAATCCAGTGACAGTGTCCTTAGAAGAGACAAGAAGAGGAAGGGGCCACATGAAGACAGAGGCAGAGACGGCAAGGATGCAGCCAGAAGCCGGAGGATGCCCACATTTGCAGGCAGTATTAGGAGCTGGAAGAGGCAGCAGGGACTCCTCCCCTGGAGCCTCTAGAGGGAGCACAACCCTGCACACATCTGACTCCAGACTTCTGGTCTCCGGAACCATGAGCCTGTTGTTTCAAGCCACATGGTTTGTGGTCATTTGTTGAAACTGATAACACCCTACGTTAATTCTGTCTGAAATGTCCGCTGAGCATGCCTGGCTCCAAGGAGCCTCTGGTGGGCCTCCTTGTCCGGACTCTTCAGCAGGCATCGGCTCTGCTGCAACGCCTGACTTGAAGAAAGGGATTCCTGAGCTGAAGGCACGTACAGGCCATGCCCAGCTACCAGGCCAGCAGGACCTGTGGTGCACTGGGTACCCCAAGGCCTGTCCTGTGTAGTCATGTCCTAAGGGAGCCTCCCAAGCAAAAAGACTCCTTCTCTGTGCTGGGTCCAATGACACCTGTTTTGGGCCACAGCCACGACCAACAGGCTGGGCTACAAAGGGCTATCCTGGCCTTGATGGGATGGTGCCGGCCAGAAGAGCTTTCTGTGAGAATGGGATGCCAGGCACTTGTGCCGTCCCACTCGGGATTCACTGGCTAGGGCCCAGGTGTGGCTGAGGAGTGAGTCTAGTCTGTCTCATGTTAATATAAACAGCCACAAGTGTGGTGGTGGCCATGGGGGCCAGTCCACACTGACGGGGACGCTTCATGAGCCGGGAGCTGCTGTCCATCCCTAGAGCATGGGACTCCATGAACCTGGGAAGGGCCTGGGAAAGTACATTCCTAATGGTCCCCGGGGGTATAGGAGACCCCCCCCCCCCACTTTGGGAACCACCACTCCAGATCTGTGTGGCTCTGGCTGAGACACTGGTCCTCCGCTCAGCTCCCCCTGTTTCCTTGTGGCTGTTTCTGGGGGTGTGGTTTGCATCCCTCAGTAAATGGGAACACCTAATTCTGGCCTCAGGCTCTGCACCTAAAATCCAAGACAGAGCTAACTTGGGGCCTCCAGCTCATTTCAGGAGTGTGTCCTGTGCTTTTCTAGGAGCCTGGAGTCCAGGGACACACTTACCTTTATCGGCTGCCGGGGCAAAGAGTTTCTCGGAGCCCACAGATGCCTGGAAAAAAGAGAGGAGGGTCAGGTCAAAGAGACCTACAAGGCTGGGGTGAACCTGGCCCTTACCCCCTGCCCTGGGCACCCAGAGAACAGGTCTGGGCAGGCTCAGTACACATGAGGGCTGCCCAGCCTGGCAGAACACGTCTTTCTGTGCCCACTGCCCCCACGTAGGAGGGTGACCACACCCAGGTCCAGTGGACTTGTACACAGATCACTAGGCCTGTGATCAGGGACCCAAGGTTCCACCCCTCAGCAGGGATGTGGGGGCTCAGTGGCCCTGCTGGGTGGGGAGCTAGGATTGGGGAATCTGGGTGCCTCCCTGCAGAGCCAGCATCAGGAACCTGAAGGCACTCCTGGGCCTGGCACTGGAGGCAGCGGGGTGGGAGGAACAGAGTGGGAATGCCCCCCACCCCGAGGCTGCAGGCCACCACCGGCCAGGCCTCAGACAGCCTGAGTCACAGGTCTGGGGACCACAGCCGCCGTAAGGCACCTAGTGTCCAGGGTGGAGTGGGTCCCTCTGAGTGGGGGCCAGCCTGCTTCAGGGAGGAATGTGGCAGTTTCTGGTGGGCCCCTGACCCCGCTCAGCCTCTCCCCTCCTGGGGAGAGGCCCATGTGTGCACAGGACCTTGGTGAGGACAGTCAGGATGAGGACGTGGCCCTCACGCTGGTTCACAGGCAGAGGCCCATAAGGCTGTTCTTAGCAGATCTTGTCTCCCTAGTTGGTGGTGTTTTAAAACAGTTTTACTGGGATGTGATTCACACACCATACAACATACCCACTGAAAAGTATAGAGCTGTGAGCAACCCTCACCACAACCTGTTATAGAAGACTTTCTGCACCCCAAAAAGAAACCACACGCTCTTCCACTTTCACCCCAATCCTCACATCTCCCCAAGCCCTGGGCACTGCTACTCTGCTCCCAGTATCTGTGGATGCCCCGTCCTGGACTTCCACGGGGAGAAAGCAGCCAGTGGTTGCTATTAGGGGTGGGGTGACTGAGTACTGAGGCGCATGAGACCCCCCTGTACCCCATAATGGCCACCATCAGAAAAGACAGAAAACGGCTGGGCTTGGTGAGGGTGTGGAGAAACTGGAAGCCTTGTGCACTGCTGGTGGGAATGGAAAATGGTGCAGCCGCCATGGCAAGCAGTATGGAGGTTCCTCAGAAAACTAACCACAGAACTACCATGTGATACAGCAATCCCACTTGTGGGCATCTGTCCAAAGAATTGAAAGCAAGAACAGACATGACAGGTGAACAAACAGATACAAGAGTCCAGGCAGAGAGAGGCCCCGCGGGCTGGAGCCCAGGTCTGCAGGGAAAGGGCGGGAGCTGCTCGAAGCAGCTCCCTGGGCCAGGGTCATACCAGACCTGCTGACGGAAATACGCAGAGCAAACCGTGACACCTTCACATGAACACGGTGCCCCTCACACCTCGTGCTAGGGTGGGGTCACCTTCCTAACCCTGCCCAGAAACCCACATCTGAAAGAAAACAGGTGGCAAATAACCCGAAACAGGCTCCCTGAGCCTCAGGCTGGACGGGCACTGGGCCAGAGGGGAGACTGCAAGCCTGCCCGCCCCCCACCCCCCAGGAGGCCCCAGTGTGGAGGGTGGTGGCCAGGATGCTCCTCCCCCACTGGGGCTTGGGGGCATCAGGGAGGCTGTGACTGTGACTTCTTCCCATGGGTTCCCAAGGCACCCTGTGTGGTGAGCAGCAGCTGTCAGAATGCCTGGATCCCTCGAGGAAACCCCAGGGGGTGAGTGGTCCACCTGAGCAGGGGGTCTGAGGGGCAGGATGGCGAGGTCAGCAGTGCTGCCCACCCACCCCTCAGGGCCTGGGTGCAGACACCTCATGCCCACTCGCTTGGCACCAGGCGTGGCCCCAGCTCTGCTGGGAGCTATGATCGCGTGTCCAGGCATGAGGTCAGGTGCCCGTGGAGCCCTGTACCCTCCTGTGAAGGCCAACAAGTCACCTACCCTCCTACTCCCAGGGCCTGCCCAAAGATCCCCCGCCAGGGCCTCAGCCTCAGAGGACTGGACCCTCACCATGACCCCAGGAGGGGGTCCCGATGTCACCCACACTTGAGGCCATACAGCTGCTGTAATTATTATTAATAGCTGGTCTCATTAACAGTCTCACAAATTAGTTCTCCATATAGCAGCTGAGAGTATCTTTCAAAACCAAAGCAGAACAAGTCACCCCAGGACTGAAAACAGTCCAGCGCCTTCCTATGGCCCAAAACGGCAGTGTGCATTTCTCCCCCAGCCCCCCAAAACTGTGACCAGCTGGCCTGCCTGGGCCCTGACCCGGGAATTTCAGTTGAGTCCCCCAGGCATTCCCAGACCCCCTCAGTCTGAGGGTGCCTCCCTCACTGGTGCAGGTTTAAATCCTCTCTGCTTACTGCCCTGCACCAGCGGGAGGAGGGCATGAGTGGGCACTCGGCACCCCCAGATGAGAGGAATAGGAGCAGGGGCCGCCACTGGCCTCTGCTGAGGATACCCTCGTGAAGGTCTTTGTTACCTGTGGCCCTGACAGCCCCTCTGAGCCTGGCCCCGTGCAAGCAGCCCACGGGGGTCCCCAACACTTCCTGGGGTGCCTGATCACTGCCCTCAGCAGGTGAAACAAATGAGCTAAGGGATGAGTCTCAAAGCTATCATTACATTCCAGGGGTGTGGTCGCTGGGCCACCAGGATGGGGAAAGGCGGCTACCTCCTGGCAGGTGGTGCCTCAGCTGCACCCTCTGTGCCAGCCCTCCCTGGAACCCCCTCCTCCGATATAGCAGGGCATCTCCATCGCACCAAGGCTGATAGTATGGGAAGGAAACAGCAGAGGCATCACTCTGAGAAAACAAGTTTGTTTCCGTGGGGCACGACTGTCCTAGGTCCCAGACTAGGAGTGAAAGGGTGAGCAGCAAGTTCAGTTAAGGCTGCAGGTGCCCTTGCCCAGCCCAGTAGGAGGCCCAGCCAGGCCAGTTCGGGTTCACTTCAAGGCCCCAGGTTGGAGCACCGGCTTCCAGAGCCAGGAGGTGGCGCGCAGACCCTGGGAAAGTCAAGGGAACAGAAGAGGGGGGAGAGGAGGAGGGGGTGAGCAGCAATGGGGGAGGGTCTTCCCTCGCCCTGGAGACCCCTGGGATGCTGCCCAGGCAAAGGCAGGAGGCAGTGGGCCGGCCACTCTCCCCTCCCTATCTGGTCCCCACACCACACTGCTCAAGTTAAAGTTTGCTCAGGGAAGTTGAGGGATCCAAGTCCCCACAGGGGTCACAGGCAGGGACCTGGCAGGCTTCCACCACATGGCAAGGGCCTGGACACCTGGCTAGGCACAACCGCGCCCATTGGAAAAGGCTCTCAACAAACACAGGAATCCTCAGGCCCCAGGATCTCTGGGGTCGCGGCCCTGGCTACAGCCCCCTTGCCAGCACAGGTACAAAGCCAGCCCTTGCTGGGACATGTCCCAGGTCGAGGTCCTTCGGCGATTTTCCTTCCAGGACAAGGGGTCTGGAGCCGGCTAGCTGACCCAAGGCGGGCGAGCAGTCCCAGCGCAACCACTACACCCCTGCTAATAACTTCCCGAGGATTATCTCCTGGGACATGACCCAGGCAGCGCGGGTATCCTCCCGCCCTGGCACTGAGCCCGTGTAGGGGTGGAAGCAAAGGGTCACTTCAGCCAGAGTACAGGTTAGAGGTCCCCGTGGAAGGGGCAGGTTCGGTACCAACAGCGTCAAGGCCAGCACTCACTCCCCAAAGATAGGCAATCCCAACTGCGGGCCGTGAAGGCGCGCTTTGTCTGCGAGGACCCGACCTGTGGGGCAGCCTCGCCCCAGACACGCGGCACAACCTCCTCCGGTCGCGCCCCGCCCCAGACAAAGAGCTCCAACTCCGGGCAGGTGAGCGCGACGGGCGCCGGGAATCACGTGCGCCCCAGGGGCGCAGAAGGAGGTACTTGGGGGTCTCCGCGCGATCGGCTCCTGAGAGTCAGAATGCGCAGAGCGCCGGGGGCCTCTCTCGGTTCTCTAGAGGGGGCAGCGGCTCTCCCAATCCCGGCCTCCAAAGTCCCGAGTGCCTCCCGGGAGTCACCAGCTCTCACTCACCGCGCGCGCGCCCTGGGTCCCGCGCGCTCTGCTGACGATCGCCGCTAGTCCTCGGACCAGAGCCAGAGACGAAGCTGGGCGGCATGGACGCCGGCGGCCGAGCGCGGGCCCCTGCCAGCCTTAGACCGTCGAGGTGGCCCCTCTCCCGTCGTGCCCTGCCTAGCCCGAACCCAGGCCGGGGGCGCACGGGCCACGCATGACCCCCACGCCGACTTGGCGCGCGCCGGGATGCTCGCAGTGCGCACTGGGGTCCCGGGCGCCGTGAGGCGGTGCACGGGGACTGGAGGCGGAGGCGGCGGCGGCGGCGGGTGCACTGCTGGCGGGCGCGCAGGCGGCGGCCAGGGAGCGCGGCGGGGAGGGGCGGGGGCGGGGCACGGGCAGGCCCGACTAATCCAGCCCCGAGGCGTGGATCTGCCCGCGCCGGGCAGCAGGTTTGGGTTCAAGCAATCGCTGTGCCATCCCCGCCACCAGGTCAGGGCGCGGTGCCAGCTACACCGAACTATGTAAGGGCTGACTCCTCCGATGCTCACAGCAACGAATATGGACGGTTCCTACGCCCAGTTTACAGAGGAGAAAACTCACAGAGTCGCCGAGGTTGAGCAGCTGAGACTTGAAGGGACACCAGAGCCCCCACATCTGTCTGATGTAAGCTCTGCCCTCGGTTTCACCATTGGCGAAGTGGGGATGCAAAGTGGGAGAAGAGGTCCCAGTAGTTATTGTAATTGCAAAATGCACAGCATACGCCAACCCTGACCACTATTCCAGAGCCATCTAGCCACTGCGTGGACCAAAAGAATTGAGATTCAAGGGGAACAACTGCCCCTTTAGAAAGTCGAGTACACGTGTGTTAGTCACTCAGTCCTGTCCAACTGTTTGCGACCCCATGTAGCCCGCCAGGCCCCTCTGTCCA